TCCAGTGTAGGATTGAGAATTGATTAATACACTGGTTCAGTCATCAAAATCTTCACATAAAAGTCCTTAAAAGGTTCAAGTTTATATGTAAATTTCACAAAATGTATATGCTATACAAAACTTTCTCATTTATTAAAAGTTATTAGACAAGAAATATAAAATTGCCCACTTTTGTGACAATATAAACATAAAAACTATGACAGAAACAAGAGTATTCTATCCCAAAAAGAGATTACAGAAAATAAGTCCTGAAGTCTTAGCAACAAGTTTTTAAAAAGTATGCAAGAAGCAATTTTGTACACTTATTAACAACTAGGGTCTATGCAAATCAAAACAATATTCAAAAATCCAGTGTATTATTTATATTATGTATAAAGAAGCTAGCCATCACTTTCTCCAGTAGACATACAAAAACATATAATTCAATGGATCATCATGGCCAACATGAAACCTTAGCAAACTGGTAACCAGGAGAAACCTACTTTAATAGTATTTTCCATGTAGCGCTAACAGCACACGTCGGATGTCATGATAAAACTGCATTTTCCTTCCAAATTGAGTTGATATAGTGTATTTTGAGTTCCTCTTTTTCCATTTAAGGCAAAGACTCCTCTAAACTTCCTAAATCAAAGAAGTGGGACATGAAGAGAACTCACCTGAACCGTGTTCATGTTCTGCAGCTGTCAGAAGAGGTAAACAAATTGTAGATCAGGCAGGGCTGAAAGAGGACCGGTTCCGATGTGCCTGCCTCCAGGCTCCTAAATATACTTTCTCAAATCTCACAGCCTGGTGCTAGAGGAAGGGAGAGCCCGTCAGGCCTTGGGAAAGCATGCGAAAGGTCAGGTACCTGGGGTGCTACTGCTTCTCTCTGTGCAATCCCTGTTTGCGTCTTCTGGCTTTCAGTTCCTACCGCCGGCGGGCTGATTCAAGGTCCCCAACTAACAGGAGCAGAATAAGGCCGGGATGGGGACCCGCGGCCCTGCCAGCCCGCGGGCTCGGAGCGCACGCCCTGAAGGGGTTAGATGGGACCCGCCGGGAGCTCCCACCATGGGACGTCTCCACCCGCAGTCACCCACACTGGGGTGCACAAAGACCCCAGGAGCGCTGCGCTCCCATCCCGCGTTCTCCCGCTGGCCCACTGCTTTCCAAAACGAGAGGTCCAAACTACATTACAGGGCTGGAGACGCCGAAAGAGGGCGCCACTGTGGCCGTCCAGGAGCAGAAGAAGCCGGCAGCGCTGCGCGAAGCGCCACCAGATCTGTGGGAGCCTAAACTACACTTCCCATGAGTCTCTGCGCGCCGGGCGCTCTCCCCTGGGGGCCGAGGGGTGAAGCCTGTAGCGAGCCCTGGAGGCTGAACATTGAGCGGGGGCTCCACCGCCAGCGCGAAGGAGCCCTCTACTGGGTACTGATGAAAATAATATTTTCCTATGTAAACCACTTGGAAATTGGGGAACCTGAATGAGGAATGAGAATGTTGAAACATATACTGAGAATATTTAGGAAAATTACCGTGTTTCTGTGAAGTGAGAAAAATAGTCATGTAGGAAACTTGATTGCTTTCAAAATATTTGAAATATTTAAGATTGCAAGTATATACATTTACTTTGTAATTTTATAAATTGTTAGCCTGGAACCTGAAAATTGTCTCTCACTTTACCTGGTACCTCCAGAGCCCGGCATGGGAGTTCCTTAAGGCAGGTAGACTGGTCCAGGTTCTGCAAACGTAGATATAGATGCTTATTAAAACAAACAAAAACCTATTGGCTTTTATGCCCTTAGATTGTTCTTGCTGAATTCTCACAATACATGGGGATTTCAACACATTTTAATGTTAAATATCTTGGATTCCGTGCTCATTGTGTCACTGGCTCCTGCAGGTCCTTGCTTCAGTGAGAATGGAAATTAAAAGGCACTCAGCAGAACTTGCAGGTAAAAGGTGTGGTTAAGTTATAAAGGATTTCGTCAAAAGGAACTCAGCCTCCCCTTTATGGGAAGGCTCCTACTTATAAACGAGGACACATCAAACTGGGAAAAACCTGAATTTCTGTACTAATGTTTTGTGTTATGTACTATGCATGCGAACTAAAATTATATCTATCTATCTATCTATCTATCTATCTATCTATCTATCTATCTATTACAAATACCCTTTTATGTGCTCACCTTTTTGTTTTCCGTGGGCTTCATGATCAAAGAGCAACCACCATAGATCCATTCAGGCCACAACAAAAGATGACTGTACACCATGACATAGGAGGTAGGGTGTGGCAAAGCTTTCTGGGAAAATAAGCAGGACTTGTCAATTCTGAAATCTCAGGAAGGAAGGCTACAAATAATTCCCAGAATCCTATACGTAGAACTTCTCATGGTTCCAACAAGACGTGGGCTGCACAGGCATCATGAGGACCCCACCATTGAGACTTCCCCCAGTACTGGGACTCCTCACCCTTCTAAATGCAGAGTGCACTTTTATTTTTGCTTTTATCCTTCCCTCTCTTTGTTCGGAGTCAGTTTTTCCTCTTATCCCTTCACCTCTCATCTTTTAAATAAATTTTTGGTGCCATTTTTGACTTGTTATATCCAATTCTTTGAGGCAAGAAGGACCTCAAATGAGTTTAATAGGTGAGCCATTATTAAGAGCCATCCGACAATTAGAAGTACACACAGAGTATTTTTTTAAAAAGGCTCATCAGGATTGCACTGGAGAAACATTTCAGTGATATGTATGGGCTGCTTCTGAGTACTCTGTGGGCATACATATATCAATCAACTTGACCCTATCCAAAATAGTCTATCCTTCCTGGCTTAATATCCTAAAGATATATCTTCATGTATGCCATATATTTTCTGTTTATGTGCAAAGTCAACCTATACTGAGCAAGCTCTTGAGTTCAAGTGTTGTTTTACAATTTAAAATTACAAATTTCCCATTGGAAATAGGTAAAGTTTTGTTTTTTTAAAATTTTATTTCAGGGAAGGGTGTACAGGGTGTTCAGTGTCTCATTACTAGGTCGGACTCATAGTGATCCGCCGGTTTACAGCGTCCCAAATGCTGAGATTACAGGTGCGCACCACCACGCCTACTGTCTCAGCGTACCCAGGGGTGGGGGCAGAGGCAGGGCCAGCACCGAAGGCCAAGGGATCGGACCCTCAGCCCCTGCACCTGCTTGCAGGTGCTTTAATCCGTGAGCTATTTGGCTGGTACTTAGGTCAGGGTTTTTATTCCTGTTATAGAGCCACTTGAAGAGGTAGCAGAGAACATTCCAGAGGAGAGTCAGCCTCCCCTTTGAGGAATGAGATCTTAAGACCTCTTCTTAGGAGAGGAGACAGACAGACAGACACAGAGAGACAGAGACACCCTAAGCCACATGAAGTTTTAGATGGGACTTTTCAGAGGCAGCTGAATAGAGTTTGGGATTGATTTGTAGTGCAATGATCAGATTAAGGGTACTGAGATTAAGGGTGAGTGATGGCTGGGTCAGTCCACCGTTTTGACACCACACTAATTGCAGCTGTCTGAATAAGAAAAAAGGAGCAAAAGAGGCTTGTTTCTCCCTTTTCACTCTAACTGCTTTTGTTATCTGCCACAGCAAATTATGGACTGAAAATTCTACAAGCTGTAAAATACATAAACCTTTCCTTTCTTAACTTCGGGTGTTGGGTATTGTCACTCAGCAATGAGAAAAAACTAAGACAGTGACTGTACTGAAAAAAAAATAACAGACTGAAGGTTAGAAGAAAATATTTGCAACCCTACCCTTAAAGAAGTACTATATCCAAAATATAGGAAGATCTCAGCCAACTCAGTAGTGAGAAAACTCAGCATAAACACTGGAAAAGTACATGTAAAATACTAGAACCTGAAACTAGCTCTTTCACACTGGCTACATCCACAGGCTTTTTTTTTTTTTTTTT